TGGTCGGATCCTTCGTTGGGCTTGCCCAAGTCAGGCGCGCTGTGGCGGAGCTCGCTCTTGCCTGGTGGTGTAGCATCTGTGCGTAGCTTGGTGGGGGCTTCAGGCTCACCAAGCGCGAGCATCTTCTTCAACTCCCATGCCCTGCCTTTCAACATTGTTCTGGATGCTCCGATTAATTCGCCCTGATCCTTGAAATTGCGCGAAGAAGTCATGGCTGCTGCCTGTGACGAACAGCGCCGCATGCCCAATGAACAGTCTCCCTGCGGACAGCCTTGCGGGATGTGAGAGGCTGCACGTGATGGCGTCGCTGCCCATCAAGCTTACCTTTATACGTGCATGCTCAGCTCAGCCTTGGGCGGGGGCTATGTATAGTCTCCAGGATGCCAGCTACATCGTCGAGTTCATGGCTATCAGAGTGGTCTTCACTTCCCTCCACGTCCCCAGTTCTCTAGCAATTTCAAATGAAGCTCGATTCTGACAAGAAATTTGGCGAACTATACCCTAGTATCGAAGCTCTCCAAACAGCCTTGACAGAGCTCGAGACAAAATACAAGAAAATCGTCTCTGATACGCAGATTCCTCTTCGATTTCTCACTCTGTGCGACAGGCCGCCTTCCGAGCCTCCGGGAAACACAGTCAGTGATCTCGCCATACAAACTGCATGTGAGATAAATGCTGACTTCATGCACCTGTATTCAGGTCCATCTACGTCTTACCCAGAGAGCGGAATACGATCTCGACTGGGAATATGTTGCTGTATCATACACTTGGGCACAACCTGAGGGTCTTGCCGCCCAATTCAATACGCCGGAGTTCAAGATCTGGATCAACGACACGGAAGCCCGTCGGCCACGTTGCCCTCCATCTGTTCTTTACCGGGCATTGCAATACGACATCCACGAAACTAAGACTGGTCGCCTCTGGATAGATCAAGAATGTATCGATCAAGACGATGCGATAGATCGCGATGAACATATTGCGCACATGCATAGGATTTATGAGCGGTCCAAATGCACCGCTATCGTCCTATCGAAGAGTATGAGCCCGAGCCATGCGACCTTCTTGCAGCGCTGCATTGAAGCCGACGCAAAAGACACGCTGGAGCAGACTTCCCACCAAGGAGATCAAGAAGAACCTCCCATGTATACTTGCTTGAGTCTTACCGATACGATGGGTGCCTCCTTAATATCCATGTCACACAAGAACAATAATCTAGAAAGCATTCTCCAAATAGAGGACCAAAAAGGAGGCCCCATTGATTCCGTAATAGAGGCGATCTTTGAGAACGTAACGGAAGATACCTACTTTACACGTGCCTGGACATATCAAGAGCAGCGGTGTTCTAAGGTCTCGTGCTATCTGATCCCTGTACCACCAGATCCGACATCTGATGGAATTACTATTGGATCAGAACGAACGAGTATCTTCATGCCAAGTACTGTTCCTCGGAGTATTCATACATGGTGCTGGAGGCGTTTGCGTTTGCGCAGTTTCGAACTTTCTCACTTGCTAACCAACAATTTCCTTTCTCATGACCGCGATGCGCGTGCCCCCGGTGTACCTGTGGTTAAGGAAAGAGGTTTGAGTCCCGCGGGAACAGTCAGGGACAGAGACTACGTGATTATGGAAACAGTCAGGGGCATGAACACGCGAGATTGCAAGTACGTGTCTGATCGCGTAACAATGGTGGCGAATATATGCGAGTTCGGCATCACCCTTCGCACAACCGAGTTCCAGGACGATGAAGCAGTGAGCTACAGTACATGTGTTTTGGCACTTCTTGTCATGAACCGGATATTCAAGAGGTCATGGGCATCTATCATGGAAATGAAAATCGATGTTGCGCTCCTCACTTTTTGAGCTACATAGATGCTTCCATAGGAGACCTGAATGACAATACCCACGCGGATAACCTACCAACGCATTCTCTTTCTGAATGTGCACCCACCAATGACTTCTCGCTCTTGAGTGGGTCTAAAAAGCAGCAAACTTGCCTTGCGCATCTATCAGGTTTCTTCGAGAACAGTCCAGGCTCAACGCATCAACAAGAGTATGGTATCAATAGTTCGTCATCTATACAATCTCTACTCCACGCACAATACATCCAAGGGCTTCGAAGAAGTTCAACTGGCTTTATGTCCCCCACTAGCCGTCTGCGCCCTCAGAAACGCCTCAACGTCCTTGGCACTCGTGGCATCGATCTGGCGGTCCATCTCTTGTTCCTGTGGACTCTTTATCCTCTCAGGCTCTTCAATCTTGTTTTCTTCACCCTTGTTTCCACCAACCACACCGGCAACGGCTTCAGCGGCAGAAGTAGCAGTCGAGGTGACTACAGCGGAGGCTGATACAGCGGCTTGTTTAGCTTGGTCCAAATAGCCCGGGGCAGCGGGCTCTTCACGATCGGGGAGCGGTACCTCTTTCGGTGCTTGACCCACCGTGTTGGGCTCCATTGTGACTGTCTTGTCTCCATGCCCATGGTCAACGACTGCTGCCTCGGGCGTTCCGTCTGCGAGCTGCCCAGATGCGTGTGTTTGGTTCTGTTGCTCGTACCGTGCTTCTGATGTGCCCGCGCGGATCGGTAAGGTTGTAGTAATTGGTACTGCGGTCGTGGACGGGCGCGACTCGGTGTCTGAGGGTGGGGTGTCGATTTCCGGCTCGTTCGTATCAGGGGGATGAGTCGCTGTGCCTACGGTTGTGAGAGGGTCGCCGATCTGAGTCGCAGGTGTGGGTGGCATCAGATCTCCCTGCTTGTATCCTACAGGCTTGGGAATGGAGAAAATTAGTTTTCTTCGCGGTGTTCCGCTTTCGCTGCCGACGCCCCAGGCTTCCATTTCGCCATTCTGGCCCTCCTCCCACTTTATCGGCCCAATAGGGAATGTCTTGCGGCCGCCCTGGGTGTTTGGGTTCTCCCACTTCATTTGCGCCTCGATGGCTGGCTCAAGGTTCGGCAACTGTCCCCACTCGAAATCGAGACCGCCACCGTATTTCTTCGGGATGTTGTCATGGTCGATGTATTGAGAGAGTGTGGAGTAGACGTTCTGCGGGGAGAGGATGAAGATCTTCGAGACTGTGATGGGATCAAACCAGCGCTTGACCCAGCCCCAGACGGTGGGAAAGAAGCCAGGCGCTCCGACGATCTACGATTTGGTCAGTTCTACTTGCATAGCTCTCAAGAAGACGCGTGCACATACGAATATCCTATCCAGGGTCTCAGGGTAGTGTGCTGTGGCCAGGACCGAAGCATCTTGCATGTGGCCCTTCAGGTTCCAGAACTGCTTCAGCCCAACACCACTGATATCCACGATGTTATTGCTTTGCGAGATTGGCGTTTCTGGGTGGCTACGAGGGACCATGGAACACAGAGGTGTGTAGAATCTTGTGAGCGACTCATACAGGGCGAATAGGCGCAGGTTCTTGGTCGCGACATTGGGGATAGTCGTCTTTGACTTGGCGAGTTGCTTCTCGTACGTGGAGATGTTCTTCGAGTTCAGCGGTGCGACCTCGAAAAGGAAGAGAGGAATGCCGCGTTTGTCGCGTCGGCCGAGCCATTGCGGATACTACGTGAGGCTGTCAGACAGGATGACAGCACATGTATGCGGGACTCTCTACCAAGCGGCGCGTTTGCTCATACTCTTCGACCTCGATGGTGTTGAAGATTTCGCTTAGTTTGTTCTCCTTCCGCCAGTCTTCCGTGTCTTTGAATTGCTTAAAGGCCTCTTGGGGAACAAAACGACGCGCGCGCAGATAGCGCCTGTAAGCAGTCAGTGCCCCGCTAAAATCGACAACTTCGCGATTTGCGCGTACAGCATGGTCTCGTCGTCATGACTGGCTCGCACCGGCCCGGCTGCAGGCGTGTAATAGCCTGCTTCCTGGCACACCTTCTTGAACTCGAGAAGCTGGGCCTCTTGGTTCTCGGTGAGATGGGAGAGATGTCCCGCAGGATACTGCATCGACTCTACTCTGCTGAGGTCGGCCATGGCGGGATATGATAGGAATGTAGGAGTGTAGGATTACAAGGCCAAAAGGAAAGATAAAAAGTGGTGAGCCAGACCGTTCAGTTTTAGGGCGTCATGTTTATGGTAATGAATGCGGCGGTGCGGCAGTGACATCAACTGTGGCTGCAGATCGGGTCTCGCGGACAGCGAGCTTCGGCAACGGTTGCGCGCTATCCGGACCAAACGTGGAAAAACCATATGAGGGTCTTGCTTGTTCACGGACATAACTGACTGTTGCGCTCGAGTCGTGTCTACCGCATTGACCACGATGAGTCCAGAGTTGCTCCGAGTGCCTCGCCATTCATTTCCGCTGCAAGCCGGAGCTTCGCCAAGGCCTTCGTGCTGACAATGATGGCCTAACTTGCAGATATGCTGACAGCATCAAGGAAAGAAAGCCGGGTAGTACGGGTTTAGGCTATGGCGAGCCATCAAGTCATCCTTCTGCTTAGTCCAACAATAGTCACGTAGTTATCTTGATGGTATCTCCAAGGCGACCGGAATATTCATTAGAATGCGATCAACATTCCTCAGCGACTGCTCCAGTGAGCAGCGTGACAGGGCTTACTCTATCAAGAGTGCTGTGTAGCTCTCCAGCCTGTTGATCTAGCATGAGTAGAAAAGCGCTCCACTGAGTAGGTTCTGCATTCATAAGTGAGACGTCTCCAATTGGGTTGAGACACAAGGCATAGATTTAGCTCAGTCTCATCCTGGTCGTGACGGGATCGTATATCTGGACCCGCGATACGACGGAGAGAACGCCTGTTGACTGAAGGTGCGTTATCGCGATTTAGCTGCCGAGGCTAGTCAATCTTAGCGACCCATGCGCTCATGACCGCCCATGTCCCAATGTTGACGACATCTGCGGCGGAACCTTCAAGCACGCCCTTCACTCGCCACACGGAACCTCCATTTACCCATGCCCTCTGCATTTCTCTCCACGACCCTGCCACCTCCCGAAAGCGCCGAACGACCCCACCCATACACCACCTGAACGCCGGGCCCACCATGCCACGCCCCTCCTTCACTGACTTGCCGACCGAGATCCTCGAAGCTGTCTTCCTAAATCTCGACCCGCGCTCCCTCGCATCCGTTTCGCAGACGAACAAACTCATCAAGGAGCTCACGACCGATGCGCCTATAATATGGCGCCACCTGTGCAAGACGCAATTCAAGACATGGGACGCTCGCCACAACATTATCGCCAAGTTTGCAGCCCCGTTGTCTGATGTCGACTGGCGCGCCCTCTACATGACGAAGCACACAATCGAGCGTCGCACCAAAGAGCTCTTGAACCGCATTGTGAATCGCCAGCAAGGGCGCATAAGATGCATCAACGACATCGCCGAGTTTGGGTACGATGCGAAGGAAACGCTGTTGAAGGAATGCGCATGCCCCGACGATGCACACGACGTTTTAGCGAGGCGGTACTACGCCAATGCCGTACTGGAGCGCATACATCGCGAGGTCGCCATCAAGGTGTGGTCGGATCTGCATGACGGCAAGGACATATCGATAGAGAGAGCTCTGGGCGCATACGATGTATTTGCGAGAGTGGGCGAAGATGTGGACATTGACGTGGTAGCTGAAGACATCACCGCACTAGCCAACAGGCTACTGGAGACATATCCCGACTTGCGCAGCTGGAGTCCACGGACACAGGCCTCAACTTTAGCGTCCTTCCTCCGTGACGAAGGCTTCAACGGTGTTCCAGACACGTCGTATCGCGCACTTCGGAATTCCTTCATTGGTCTTGTCATTCGCTCGGCGACGCACGAGTCTCTCCCACTCATCTCAGTCGCCATCTATTGCGCCGTAGCACAGCGAATCGGCCTTGATGCACGACCCTGTGGGTTCCTTTTCCACGTCTATACTCTTGTCTATGCGCCCAAGAACTACAATCTCGATGGCCAGTACAAGCCGACGAGTTCGGCGCAGCTGGATTACATGTACCTGGATCCGTTTCGCTCTTCCTCCGAAGTACGGCAAGGCGATTTACAGAGGATCCTACGCGACATGGGTGTTCCAAAGGACGAACACCATGGCTTTCTGAGCGACACCAACACCCGAGAGATGGTAATGCGCACTGCGCGCAACATCATGAATTCGGTACAAACGATCCGCGAAACTGAAGCTGGAATGGGCAGCATCCAGGCGTCATGGATGAACTCATATCCAGACATGGACAACGCGTTTTACGCAACTATCTGGGCCATGCTGCTCCTTGGGCCGAACGACGATCACATCTCATCTGGACACAACCAGATCCGTCGTCGCCAATATCTGCCGTACCTGCTCGAGCATTTTCAGATGCACTACCCATGGGACGTGACGTTGCTATCACGCTACGTCATCCCCATGTTCTACAACCAACCTGAGGGTCGTCGCCTGCTTCAATTTGTGCAGAGCATGCATCAAGTTGATTCAATGCGGAAGCCTGTTGCCAATCGCTCTGCGCGCACGCAGAATGTTGCTTTCAAAGTTGGCCAGCTATTCCAACACAAGCGTTATGGCTATGAAGGTGTCATCACAGGCTGGGACGTTGTCTGCGACGCGAACGAAGACTGGATTCAGAACATGCGTGTAGATTCCCTATCGAAAGGTAGGAATCAGGCTTTCTATCACGTACTGTAAGTTCATCTCTTAGCGCCTTTACTATATTATGCTAATCGAAGTAGTGTCTGCGACAAATCCGTTCGCTACGTTGCTGCTGAGAACATCAAGCCGGTGGATGAGGATACATACCCCTCCGAGGCGTTGCTGAAACTCGCTGGCCGCCATTTCAAGCGCTGGGACAATGAACAACGTTGTTTCGTGAGCAATGTGCGCGACGAATACCCCGAGGATTAGAGGTTGCAGGGCTAAAAGCAAGGTGGGGTTTGAAAGGTATAGATAGATAAAGCTATTACGGTTTGTTGCGTTCTCTAGTCGAGTGTCGCATCAAATGCTGTTACATCCCCACTCATTCCGAGCCTGTCGGTCTCCGACCTAATATCGAGCGAAAAATATGAAACATTCCCAAGATGATTGCTGTAGATCCACGAATCAATCATCGCAATCTTCCATCCTCACTTTCTTCCCTTGTTTGGCATGAAGCGATCCAAATTCTCCTCCAGGAAGCCATTTTCGGCTAGCATTTCGAGCCACTTCTTGATGACCGGACCAGAATCGTATCGCCGCTGTGCAGCCTTCGAATCCTCTTCGGCCTCGTTCTGCATCTCCATCATAATGTTCGCAGCCAGTTGATTGGCTTGCGAAAGCAAATCGCTACGGCGAGCCAGGAGCTGGGTCATGTCCTCGCTGTCGATGGTCGCTTTGACGGTAGAGGAGATGGGGTTGGCGGCAAGAAGTTCTTCGAGCCCTAGCATACGGGGGCTAGGCGGCTGTTCATTGGGGTCTACTAGATCTCTCCAGTCTTGAGACGTAGAAGCTGAGATGTCATCGAGGCGTGTGTCGACACGCGAGAGTGTATTGATCGTCAGACTAGCGTTCTTGCGCAGTGAGAGCAACGGGGACTGCGTCAGAGCAACAACGCCGTAATCGTCGTCGCCAGCAGCCATGAGCGTAGAAATGGTGGTGGAGACTGACTCAAGCCATGTCTCGCCGCGCTGCGGATCAAAGGAGCCAACGCACGTCGGCTGCCTGTCCAGACCGTCCAACTTCCAGACTTCGTTTCCAACCGGTACGAAAGCGATGTAGTGATGCGCGTTATCCTCGACGCTCTCTGCACTATCGTGACTGGCGACGGTGTCGGTTGAAGCAGCGCGTCGCGACTTGGATCCCTTCTTGGTAGGCTTGGTCTTCTCAGTCAACAGCTGTGCCTTGATGCGCTGGGCGCGTTTGACTTTGTAGCTGAGATGTTTGTCGCCCTCGAGAATGTCCATCTTCTTGGCAAACGAATTGTGAATCTTCTTCACAAAATCGAAACTCGCAAAAGCCTCACCGCGCTGGTATGGCGACAAATCTTGTGTGAAATCCTTGAACTGGGTCAGATGCTCGCCGATATGCACATCAGCTTCGTTACTCTGGTTCATCATGATGTTGATCATGGCTAGTGTCGCACAACTGTTCTGGGCGGGCAGTTGGTTGGCGAACCAGACGTCCTTGGGACACTCGGCTGCCTGACCGTCGTTGCCAAATTCGCGGTAGTGGAAAAGCAGGATGAAACCGTAGACAGGCTGCGGGAAGTTGTCGAGAAGGAAGTCTGTATCCATACTGAATACTTCGCGTACCGTCACGTCGCGGACGCCCATCTCGCGGAGGATGACGGAGAAACAGGCGGGTTCACTTTCGATTTCGCAGAATCCTTGCCAGGTCTCTTTGTCGAAATTGGTTGCAGGCATGTCTGGTGGACTAGGGAAAACCGGATCGGTAGAGGCGCCGTTCTGAGGCGACGGCGGGCCTGGCGAGTCTTTTGCCTTTTTGCTGCTGGGCTCCGACGCTGTCGCGGGTTCAGGAGGACCTCGCTTCTTGGTGTTGGGTGAGGCCGTTTTCGATCCAGAGCCTGGAGATGTAACGTCGTTGACAGACTGAGCTGTAGAGGCGCCATTGCTTTCTACTGCGATTGCAGAGACTGTATCGGCGACTTGGTTTGCCAGGTCTTTGCTGGGTATGGCTTGTTGTTGGGTTTGTTCTTGGATTCCAGCTTTGACATCCGAGCCGGCTCGGAAATCGTGGATAGTCTGACCCTCCATACTAGCTGATTTGGGTTGAGAGGGGCTTAGAGTGAGTTGTAGTTTGGAGTTGAAGGAGTTCAAGTGTGTATGTGGACGTTTGGAGGTTGGAGGAAAGGAAAGCAGACAAGCATGGTGGAAGGCGATCTGTGAACGAAGCGCGACTATCTTTTCTTGTTGTGGGGTTCGACAAGACAATAGGAAGCGAGCTGATAATGGTATAAAGTGAACGTGAAAGCAAGTAGCAGCGGGCAGCGGGCAGGTAGTCGAGGTCGGGGCGCGAGCACGTGACGAGCTCGGCGTCATCCAGTTCTGATTGGCCGGATCCATCTCAGCCCGCATCCTTGTCGCGCTCGTCGCGTAGACTCTAGGTAAATGTTTGTTTGAGTTTCACGTCCACCGACAGTCCGCCCAGCGCAGCACACCCGACCACCCCCCAGCCGAACACGCATCTTCGTCGCATCTTCCAATCAATGATCACGATATAGCCGACGCTTAACTTCTGGGTGCGATGAACGGCACACCCCAGGTTCGCCGAGGCGTGGGCGGCTTCCCATCAACACCACAGAACACGAACCGCTCCCCCGGCCTCCAGAGCCCGAATGGCACAACACCGCGACCCAACATCAAATCGCCCTTACCCGACCTGCCCAAAGCCCCAGCGCAGTCAAGCTCAGGGCCCCTAATACCCTCCGACATCCTCGATCCCGCCCAACAACGCTTCTATGTCTTCGCCCTATACGTCGCCCTATGGGCATACCGAACATACGACTTCTATACGCTGGCTGTCGAGGAGGACGAGTCGTTAGTGCTGTGCCTGAAATGGTGCTTCTTTGACGTGCTGTTCATGTTCGGCATACCGCTACTGGAAATTCCTTGGTTGGAATGGGGCAACGGCGCCGCCTTCCTGCTGTTTGTGCTGCATGCAGGCGTCGACGTCATGCTCATGTTCAGGATTGGCATACCGGTGCAGGCATGGCTCATGGGCCTGGTGGGCTTCTTGTGGGATAGCGAATTGGCCATCAGCGAACGGAGCGTCAAGCCTGGTGCTATTCTACACAACGCCTCCCTTATTCTCGGAAAGCAGATTGTCAACATCTTGCCTGAGGGTTCTGCCGTATTGAACCCAGATAGGCTGTCGTTCTGTCTGAACTCGTCCGTCACCCAACTCGAAATCCCGATCATGATCAACCAGACCGAACCCCACGAGATGGAGATCCTGCGCATCGACATCGATACGTACGTCAACGAGACCATCATCGTCAAGAAGGGAGAGCTCAAGTCTATGTTGAAGAAGGCTAGGAAGACGCAGAAGTCATCCGACCCTGACGACCCATTGACTCTGGCCTACACGATCAAGAAGCCAGGTGTATATCTGCTCAAGAAGGTTACGGATCAGTCGAAGCTTCTAGTGCGCCCGCGGTCAACCAACGTCGTTGTGGCTACCTGCCCGCAAGCTCGAGTGAAGCCTACTGGCAACAATCGGTGCCGTAGTGATCTTTCCAACGTTGCACTTGAGGTCGAGGGAACACCGCCTTTGAACGTCAAGTACCGCCTTACGGTAAACGGAAAGCCCCGCGGCGGGTCTCAATTCCAGAATCTGCAGCCAGACGACGCCATCTCGCCCCTGTCGAAACACACATCACAAGCACTGGTCAAGAGCGGACGCGAAGACATTTCCTGGGCACGCCCGCACAAGGTCCTCGTACCTCTGAACGAATCTCTCACGACTAGTGGCTCTTGGGAGTACGAAATCGAGGAGGTGCAGGATGGACTGGGCAACTTTGTAAGCTACCTGAACGTCGACGATGACGAGCGCCCAAGGCCCAAGGTCGCAGGCATTCGTCAACTATTCGAGGTCCACGAGCGTCCTACAGCTTTCCTTAGAGGCTGCAGCCCACAGAACCCTCTTCGGGTGCCCAAGGGTGAAGCCGCTCGTCTGCCCGTTCAGTACCAGTCTACGGGCAAAAACGCTATTGACTCTGCGCATACCGTTGAGTACCTCTTCACACCCCAAGAGAATATCGTTTCGGATGGCTACCACAGTCCAGATGCTGTGCTGCAAAAGCAGGTTATGCGAAAGGGTGAGCAGCCTACCATCAAGGTTGCCGGTCTCTACACCATCAAGTCTGTGTCGACCGAGTTCTGCGAGGGTGAGGTTTTCGAACCTACTTCGTGCCTACTACACAACCCGCCCGAGCCGGATCTCACGCTAGATAGCGAGGACATCATAGACAAATGTGCGGGCAACCCCATCGGTCTCCGCGTTGGCCTTGATTTCGTTGGAAGTCCACCTTTCGTGGTCACCTACTCCGAGAAGAAAGACAATGGCCGAGAGGTCAGGCAGCCGCCACTTCAGATTGCCAGCCTCCGCAGTACGATCGATCTTACACCGACCGATGCGGGTCATTACGAATACACATTCAAAACCATCAGCGACTCGGTTTACAAAGAGAGGCCCCTTAGCAACATCAAACTTCAACAGGATGTCAAGCCATCCGCACAAGCATACTTCATCGAAAGCAGTAGACCTAAGCAAGCTTGTATCGACGATGTGGTTGAGTTCGACGTTGGCTTTGCTGGAGAGGCACCCTGGAAGCTCGAATACGAAATTGTCCACAATGGCAAGCGTACGAAGCGCGCCATCGAGACCGAGACTGCGCACTACGTAATACGAACAGACAAGCTCAGCAGCGGTGGCGAGTACGTCGTAGCTCTGACGAGTGTTACTGACAAATCTAAATGCAAAGAGGTTCTCAACCCCGTAGCTAGAGTCAATGTTCGTCACGAACGACCCAAGGCGTACTTCGGGCACATTGAAGGCAAACAATCAGTCTTGGCTTTGGAAAGTCGACAAGTCGGACTTCCTCTCCGCTTTACTGGAAACGGCCCTTGGCTACTAGAGTACGAAAACTTGAAGACCAAGGAGGTCAAGAAGGATAGCTTCCAAAACCCCAACTCGTGGCTTGACGTCAAGACAGATGGAACCTATCAGTTGATCTCCGTTAAGGACTCTGTTTGTCCTGGCCTGATCGATGAAAAGGCTGACCAATTCGACGTATCCTGGGTCGCACGTCCCTCGCTCAGTGTTCCTGAGAGTAGCGCGGTGCTGGAAGGCAGCAAATATATCAAGGACGCCGTCTGCGAGGGTGACGAGGATTCATTCGATGTGTCTTT